TAAGGGGGTGGGGGCAGAAAGAAGAGACGAAAGCAGACGACAGAACATTGCTAGAGAGCAGGAAAGGGGGTGAAAGGAGACAATTTTAGAGAACAAAATTTTTCGGTCGCTGCCTAGATTCGAACCCGGGACCTTTGAATGAGAGACCAACACCTTAATATCTCTATGCCACGAGAGGTCACGCGAAAACATAGAAAGCGCAGAAACTTCAGCGGCTGAAGATAAACGCTGACAGACGCCAGTAGGTGTCTGCTTGTGCTGTGGCTTGACTCCACATAGAGAGCGCCTGATGCCGCTCCTTTTAAGCTTGCATAAAGATCTAGGCTAATATAGATATATCTAGTTCTCTTAGTAGACACACAACGGAAAACTATAAGAGGCCTCGGCTATTCAAATTCACACACTCAACTGACACACAGTAAGTAAGGCCTAGATCTAAGAAAAAAGATTACACCACAAAGCAGCTGGTATTGATAAAGCATTTATTTAGGAGCCCCCCCCCCAAAAAAAAAAAAAAAAAAAAAAAAAAAACTCCAAAAAAACAAACACACACAAAAAACACACAAAAAAAACAAAAACCCCAGAACGAATTTCCTAAAATATTGCTTAACATTTAATTATACTAGGGTACTCCTCTAATTTGACGACGCTGATTTAAAAAATGTAATTAGTTTTTGTCTACATGAAGTTCCATTTCTGAAATGACCATTTAAATTTGTTCTCAATACAGTCTGGTGACGTCACGCAAAGCGCAGGCCGCAGAACCCGAGTTAACGGCGTCGAGACCGCATTGAGTGTTGACAGCGAGGCGCCCTTCCCAGTTTTTCAGCGTAATAAGAACGTACATGTACATGTAGTTTGGTTTCCAATAAAGCCGACAGCGCCGATTGGTGCTTAAAGCCGCCTGCAGTCTGCCAGCTCTATGTAGGGCAAGTTGGAAATCATAAGGGAATGTTTAAATATCTATCGGCACTTACTGCGTCAAGTCTCCGAAATCGGCGTTCTCTATGTTTTTGCTCGTGACTTAAACGCAACCAGTTGTTCAAAGATACACAAGAAATGGATGAAAGAAATTTTTAAAAACTATTTAGTGAACTACAAGACTCCAGTTGGCTTAATCTGAAGAAAAAACAAACAAACAATTAAACCAAAAGTAGGGCGGAAAATTTGAAATACATGCAGATCTAGATTCTAGCTGAAGTCGTTTGCGTGTAGAGAGTCTGCCGTCGCGTGAAGACACGTACATTCAGCACGAGCACCAGCGTACTTCCTCTTCAACAGAGAGTACATACTAAGGAACAGATTGTCTGTCTTCTGCAAATTTGGGTCTGAGTGAAGTTCCAGAGGAGAACAATTTAATCCTCTCTCGCTGATGCCATTTCTATTTTCGCTATTTAATTTACGCATTCTTTACTACGAATACTATGAGTGTGTTTCTATAATTGATATTGTTAATGTTATTGTGTGTTATTGTTATTGTTTTTGTTGTTGTTGTTGCTGCTGCTGCTGCT